AAAGAAAGAAAGAAAGAAAGAAAGAAAGAAAGAAAGAAAGAAAGAAAGAAAGAAAGAAAGAAAGAAAGAAAGAAAGAAAGAAAGAAAGAAAGAAAAAAGAAAGGGACACGTGGGTGGCTCAGTCGGTTAGGCATCCGACTTCAGCTCAGGTCATGATCTCACGGTTGGTGAGTTCAAGCCCTGCATCAGGCTCTGTGCTGACAGTGAGGAGCCTAGAGCCTGCTTGGCTTTCTTTGTCTCCCTCTCTCTCTACCACTCCTCACTCGTGCTCTCTCTCTCTCTCTCTCTCTCAAAAATAAATAAACCTTAGGGGCGCCTGGGTGGCTTAGTGGGTTAGGTGTCCGACTTCAGCTCAGGTCATGATGTCACAGTTTGCGGGTTCGAGCCCGGCATTGGGCTCTGTGCTGACAGCTCGGAGCCTGGAGCCTGCTTCAGATTCTGTGTCTCCTTCTCTCTCTGCTCCTCCCCCACTCATGCTGTCTCTCTCTGTCTCTCAAAAATAAAATAAAAACATTAGTAAATACATACGTACATAAATACACACATTAATTAATTAAAAATAAATAAACCTTAAAAAATCTTCTAAAAAATTTATATCTAAAAAAAATATATGGAAATTATCCTGAAGTTCGTCTAGAGGAGGGTTTCTCATCCTTGGGGCTGTGGACATGTAGAGCCAGACCGTTCTTTGTCACGGGGGCTCTCCTATTACTGTAGGATGTTAGCAGCACCCCTGGTCCCTATGCCAGTAACACTGCCCCAGTTGTGACAACCAAAATTGTCTCCAGACATTGCCAAGTGTTCCCTGGAAGGTAACCCTGGCTGGGAACCACTGATCTAAAAATAATTAAATCAGCACCAAGAAGAAAATATGGAAAAGAAGGTAATCAGGACAGCAATAACATTCTCAGGTATTAAAATATTAAAAAGCTAAAATAGGGGCGCCTGGGGGACTCAGTCGGTTAAGCGTCCAGCTTCGGCTCAGGTCACGACCTCATGGTTTGGGGATTCGAGCCCCGCGTCGGACTCTGTGCCGACAGCTCAGAGCCTGGAGCCTGTTTCCAATTCTGTGTCTCCCTCTCTCTCTGTTGCTGCCCCGCGCCCATGCTCGGTCTCTCTTTCTCTCAAAAATAAATAAACATTTAAAAACAATTTTTTAAGCTAAAATAATTCACATAGGCACAAATATAGGTAGGCAGTTAAATCAATATATCAGAAGAACTGACCTAGAAATACACCCCCATTTTTTAACAAATTAATTTCAAAGGTGCCTCCCAATCACTTGAAAAAAGAAAAAATTTTCTCGATTCTGTCATTTAGTAAGAGGGGCTGAGATAATGATCTGGTAATTTGAGAAGGAAATTTGTAAAGTCTTTAAAATGTGTATTTAAAAGCTAGATCTAGGGGCCCCTGTGTGGCTCAGTTGATGAGCATCCGACTCTCGATTTTGGCTCAGGGCATGATCCCAGGGTCATGGGATCGAGCCCCACAATAGGGCTTGAGATTCCCTCTCTCTCCCTGTCCCTCTCCCCCACTCACACACGCTCTCTCTCTAAAAAAAATAACTTAAAAAAAAAAGCTAGATCTTAAAGAGAGTCTAAATCTAATTGGCTAAACTTACGATTTTCTATTCTTCTAGAAAAAACCTAGATGAATGTAGAATTAGGTGTGCATCAATCTTCCAACAGAAAGCACTCATTAAGCATAACATCACCAAAAACATGATAATAGCAACGTCAAGCTTTCACTCCATGAAAATAAAAACATCTACATATCCAAAAAGAAATGCCAAAAATGAAAATATAAGCAACAGAATGGGGACATATATTCAACAAGCAGCATACAAAAGAGGTCCATATCTCTAGTATACAAAGGGTGTTTTCAAGTTGATGAGGTTCCACCTTCTAGATAACAAGCAAATAGTATCAAGAGACCGTTTCCAAGAGAAAATAAAACCTCCAACGGGCCAGGCGTTCAGGGTTACTTTGAACCAAAGAAACATGAGTGAAAATAATTTAGGTAGATACCATTTTTCACCTAGTGAGTTCGCCAGTTTAAATATATTAGGAGACAAAAAAGACACGATCCCTGTATGATCCAGTAATTCCACTGTGAGATACATACCCAAAAAGAGTCGACGGCAGGAACTCAAACAGATGGTCTTTTTTTTTTTTTTAACATTTATTTATTTTTGAGACAGAGAGAGACAAAGCGTGAACTGGGGAGGGTCAGAGAGAGAGGGAGACACAGAATGCGAAGCAGGCTCCAGGCTCCGAGCTGTCAGCACAGAGCCCCACACGGGGCTGGAACTCACAGACCGCGAGATCATGACCTGAGCTGAAGCCGGACGCTTGACCGACTGAGCCACCCAGGTGCCCCTCAAACAGATGGTCTTAACCAAGCTTCACAGCAGTGTTGTCCACGGTAGCCAAAAGGTGAAAGTAATCCAGTGTCCACGGATGGGTAAATGGATAAGACACAGTGTGGTCCATCCATACGTGTGATATTATTCAGCCTTAGAAAAGAATGAAATTCTGACTCGGGCTACAACAGGGACACAGGGATGACCCTCAAAGAGATCATACTGAATGAAAGAAGCCGGACACGAAAGGACAAAGATTGTATGATTCTGCTTGTACAAAGTATCTACAGTAGTCAAATTCATGGGCAGAAAGTATATTAGAAGTTACCAGGGGCTGGAGGCAGAAGGGGAGATAATGGGGAGCTGGTTAACAGTACAGAGTTTCCATTTGGGATAATAAAAAAAGGTCTGGGAATTCGCTAAGGGAGTAGAATGTAAGCATTCTCACCTCCAAAAAAAACCACAAAAAAACGCAAAAAAACAAAACTAACAAACCAAAAAAACCGTAAGCCGATGATGGCTGTGTTAATTACCCAGATCCTGGCGACCGTTTCACAAAGTTTACATATGTCGAATGTATGTATGTATACTTTAAGTGTGTACAATTTGCTTGCCAATTGTATTTCAGTAAAGCTGGGGGGAAAGTTCTGGAAATGGATAATGGTGATGCTTGCACAAAAAATATTGTGATGTATTTAGTGCCATTGAACTGTGCGTTTAAATATTTATTTTTTTATTTATTTTTGAGAGAGAGAGAGTGACCACATGCTAGGGAGTGGAAGAAAGAGAGAGAGAGGGAGAGAGAGAGAGAATCCCAAGCAGGCTCCATGCTGTCCGGGCAGAGCCTGACGTGGGGCTCGAACTCACAAACCGTGAGATCATGACCTGAGCCGAAACCAGGAGTTGGACTCTCAACGGACTCAGCCACCCAGGCACCCCTGAACTGTACATTTAAATATGGTTAAAACCGGGGTGCCTGGCCAGCTCAGTCCAGGGAGCCTGGGATTCTTGACCTCGGACTTGTAGGTTCAAGCCCCGTGTTAGGTGTGGAGATTACCGTCAAACAAATCTCTTTAAAAATGGTTAAGTTTTGGGGCGCCTGGGTGGCGTAGTCGGTTAAGCGTCCGACTTCAGCCAGGTCACGATCTCGCGGTCTGTGAGTTCGAGCCCCGCGTCAGGCTCTGGGCTGATGGCTCGGAGCCTGGAGGCTGTTTCCGATCCTGTGTCTCCCTCTCTCTCTGCCCCTCCCCCATTCATGCTCTGTCTCTCTCTGTCTCAAAAATAAATAAACGCTAAAAAAAAAAATTAAAAAAAAAAAAAAGAAACCCCCCCTTCCTGTTACTTTTTTTTTTTTTTTTTAGTTTTATTTATTTATTTAGAGCAGATCAGGTAAGGAGCAGAGAGAGAGAGGGAGAGAGAGAGGATTCCAAGCTGTCCAGCACAGAGCCTGATGCAGGGCTCCGGGCTCAAACTCATGAACAGTGACATCATGACCTGAGCTGAAACCAAGAGTCAGACGTTCAACCAACTGAGAGGCCCAGGTGCCCCTCACCTCCACCCCTTTCCTGTTTCTGGACTGTTCCCATGTAGGGCCTTTGCCAGCTCCGACCTCGAACTCCACCTGCCCTCGTGCCCAGTGCTGAGGGGCTGGCCCAACCCAAAGGTGTCCCCCCCCCCCATTGACTCCAAGATCACCAGCCCCCTCCTGACTGCCTGGCAACCCCTTTAATTTAAGGTTGACTGTACTATCTCCGGTTCTGAGCCCTGCAGTCACCTGCCGATCATCCATTTAACAAATGTTTATTGAGCATCTACTAGGTGCCAAGCTGAGTGTATCCACCTCCTACCTGCTACGGTGACAAATCACCATGAACTTGGTAGCTCAAAACAACACAGTTATTATCATACGGTTCTGGGGGGTCGTAAGTCCAAAACTGTCTGGCTAAACAAAAATCAAGGTTCCTCTTCCTTCTGGAGGCTCTAGGAGAAAATCCTTTTCTTTGCCTTTCTCCTTCTAGAGGCCGCCTTTATGCATCCCAGCAACGTCAAGCCAAGTCCTTCTCCCGCTGCCTTCTCCCTGGCTTTCTCTCCCCGGCCTCCCTCCTCCACATTTAAGGACACTTGTGATCACACTGGGATTACACAGATCATCCAGGATAATCTCCCCATCTCCGGGTCAGCCGATTAACGACCTGAATGCCCCTCGCCATGCAATCTCACATATTCAGAGTTCCAGGGATGAGGGAGAGAACATCTTTGGACGGGCTCTTATCTTGCCTGCTGCCTGGCGGATGTGGCCTTAAGTAAAACAAACAAGATCTCTGCCCTCGTTTAGAGAGGTGACGGTCGAGGGGTAGAAAACCAGCCATAAACACGCTGGGGGGTGGGGTGGGCGGCGGTTGGGCCGGGAGGGCGGGAGTTACGATCAAGATAATTGCAGGTAACAATGAGCGCCGTGAACAAAATCAAACAGCAGGATCTGATAGGAATGAAAATACTACACGCCGGGGAGTCGCGGAAGAGCCCCGTGTGCCGCGCTCCGTCTGACCCGGCGTCGTCTTTGCCTTCTGGGCCAGTGGAGGCTTCTCCTTTCGCATTGCACAGGCCCAAATAATCCGGGGAGCCCCCTGCCACTCACCGCCAGGCCCGAGAAGATGCTCTCAGTTCTCCGTGCAGCGTCCATCCGGCATCTGAACACTTCTCCCCAAGTCCTCGGTCCCCATCCTAGTTCACTCTGTCATTGCTCAGCGGGACTAGCACAGTCCACCCTGGTACCCACACGGCCCCCCTTTCCCCCTGCACCCTCCATCCCCCTTCTTGAACCCCACGGGTTGCCCTCCCTGAAGAAGCCACCAGAGGGCGCCGGTGAGCACCCAAGTCAGGTCCCCCAGGGCTCCCACCTTGGGAGTGGGGGGGAAGGGGTCTGAGTCCTCTGGCTCACTCCGTTCCAAACACACACACACACACACACACACACACACACACACGCACACACACACACACACCTTCCTCCCTGTTCCTCCAACACACCAGACCCAGCGCTGCCCCAGGGCCTTTGCACAGGGCTGTGCCCTCTGCCTAGAACACTCTTCCCACAGATACCCACCTGGCCCCGTCCCTTCTGACCTCTGCTCAAACGCTCACTTCGGCAACAACTTCTCTGACCACCCTGTTTTAAAATCTGCATCACACCCTCACCCCCAGGGATCTCTGCCACCCTCTCTCTCTCTCTCTCTCCCCCCTGTAGTTATTACCACCTGAGTTTGCTACGGTTGTGTCTTTACATCATTTGCTGCCTGGATTTCAACCATAAACTACAGGAAGGCCGATGTCCTGTGCTGGGCACCACTAATCCCAGAGCATAGTAGGTGAGTTGGAGTATTTGTGCCTGGGGGATGGACGGTGTCTGTCCTAAGACCAGGCTGGCTGTTGGTGGAGAATGCACTACGGGGCAAGAGTGGAATCGTGGGTCAAATGGTGTAGCCACCGTGGAAAACGGTCTGGACGCTCCTCAGAAATTAAACACAGAGGTAACGTAGGATCCACAGCAATCCACTTCTGGGATCCAGAAGGATCGAGGATTTATCTGCACACCCATGTTCATAGCAGGCGTCAAATGTCTGTCAGTAGGTGAACGGACAAACAAAACGTGGCCCATTCATACAATGGAATATTTTGTTAATGTTTATTTTATTTTTGAGAGAGAGAGAGAGAGAGAGAGAGAGGGAGCGCAAGCAGGGAAGGGTCAGGCAGGGAGGGAGACGCAGAATCCGAAGCAGGCTCCCGGCTCCGAGCTGTCAGCAAAGAGCCTGACGCGGGGCTCGAACTCATGAGCTGTGAGATCGTGACCTGAGCCGAAGTCGGACGCTCCACCGACCGGGCCACCCAGGCGCCCGTCATGCAATGGAATATCAATCAGCCTTGAAAAGGAAGCTCGTTCTGACACCTTATACAGCAGAGTGAACCTGGAGGACATTGGGCTCCGTGAAACAAGCCCGTCACAGAAGGACAGATACCACAGGCTTCCGCTCCCAGCAGGTCCCTGAGGAGTCCCGTCCACAGACACAGAGAGTAGATGGTGGGAGCCAGGGGCCGAGGGGGGGGAAGGGGTGGAGGGCCAGTGTTCCGTGGGGGCAGAGTCTCAGTTGGCGGAGACGAGAAAGTCCTGGGGACGGATAGCGGTGACCTTTGCACCGCCGTGTGAACGTGCACAGTTGAGACGTGCACAGAACCACACAGTTGACAAGGGTTTGAATGGTGACTTTTCTGTTACGAATATTTTACTGCAAGGCAAAGATGGGAGTAAGTGCAAGTAATTCAAGTGAGGAAAGCATCACTGGGTAAATAAGGGTATGGTGGCAGACCGCACGGGGACAGTCGAGGAGGGAAGGGTCCCTAACAAATACTCTCCCGGAGTTTATAGTGCCCAGGTGCTAGAACCTTGACTCCTCACGAACAGCATGCTGTTCCAGCACCCTACTGTTGGTCCTCTCTTACAGATGGGGAAGCCGAGGCACAGAGGTGCAGCCCACAGAGCCGGCCCGTGAGCGAGTGTGGAGGGTAGGTGCCGAACCACCATCCCCTGGTCCTTCTCCCCCGTCTCTTCTCCTGCTACTTTCGTTCTAAAATTATCGGAGGCCGGGGCGCCTGGGTGGCTCGGTCCGAAAAGCGTCCGACTTCGGCTCAGGTCATGATCTCGCGGTCCTTGGGTTCGAGCCCCGCGTCGGGCTCTGTGCTGGCGGCTCGGAGCCTGGAGCCCGTTTCCGATTCTGTGTCTCCCTCTCTCTGTGACCCTCCCCCGTTCATGCTCTGTCTCTCTCTGTCTCAAAAATAAATAAACGTTAAAAAAGAAAATTAAAATTACCGGAGGCTTCCTACGTGCCATGCGTGGGATCAAACCCTTTGCCGGCATTAATATATATATTCCTGCCCATTTCCATATGTGGCGGATATTATCCCCAACCTGCAGATGAGTAAGCTGAGGCCATGGCCTCCTCCGCAGGGGTTCCGGCCTCCTCACCCCCCAGCTGGACACCTCCCGCGGCTCTCCGCTGCCCCCAGGCTGAAATCTGAGCACCCCGTTCAAGGCTCCTGGTAATCTCAGAATCTCATCTTTACCTCTCCCCCCATAGCACAGGCCCCCTTTGCTCTGGCCGTTCCCAACACTTTGCGGGGGGGGGGGGGGGAACAGAACAAACTCTTCCAGCCTCAGAGCCTCTGCACGTGCTCTTTCTTCTACCTGCAAAGTTCTGTTTTTCAGCCCAACTCACTCTCCTTTGCCTACTAATGCTAACCTCTTGGGAGAAGACTTCCCCCACCATCTCCGGACCCACAGCTCAGTTTAGGTGACCCTCTTCGCTGTTCTTGCAACCCCAATGCTCCCCCTCCGTCCCGGCAACGTTGTGCGCCTGTGCGGAGCCCCATGCGGGGCTCGCACCCACGAACCGTGAGCTCGTGACCTGAGCTGAAACCAAGAGTCGGATGCTTAACCGATTGAGCCACCCGGGTGCCCCAAAAAGTTGCTTAAATCTTAAGGGATAAGTACTGTATGATCTCCTTTAGATGTGGAATCAAAAAACAAACAAACTGTTAGAAACAGAATAGAACGGTGATTGCCAGGGGCTGGGTGGGGAAATTAGGAGCATAACACTGAAGGGCACAACCTTGCAACTCTGTGGATAAACAAGTTCTGGAGATCAGATCAACATGTTGTACACCTTAAATCTACACAATTATGCTTCATTAAAAAGGAAAGGCTTGGGGCGCCTGGGTGGCGCAGTCGGTTAAGCGTCCGACTTCAGCCAGGTCACGATCTCACGGTCCGTAAGTTCGAGCCCCGCGCCCGGCTCTGGGCTGATGGCTCAGAGCCTGGAGTCTGTTTCCGATTCTGTGTCTCCCTCCCTCTCTGCCCCTCCCCCGTTCATGCTCTGTCTCTCTCTGTCCCAAAAATAAGTAAACGTTGGAAAAAAAAATTAAAAGAAAAAAAACAAGGAAAGGCTTAAGGGGACATAACGTGTCTTGGAACGAGGAAGTTTTGAATACTGGGTGGCTCCAGGGCTCCTAAATTCCATAGAATCAGAATTCAGATTCTTTTCGTGTTTCCCCCCGTCCGTCCGCAGCCTGTCCAGTGAATGACGATGTTGGGCTCAGTTTGGGGATGTGCTGGGTCTGGGTCGGGGGGTGGGGAGGATACCCAGGAGGAATATCCAGGAGGCAGCTAGATATTAGAGCCGAGGGCGAGGCAGGAGAGTCCCTACGCCACGACAGAGGATGAGCAGCCCCCGGGAGGGTGTGTGGAGTGAGAAGCTGGCTTTGCCTTGGAAGCAGCAGCTCCTTGGTCACTTGCGTTCGTGAAACACCGACCGCATGGCAGCACTAACTGGGCTCTGGTGATCCGGGTCCCGTGGGGTGGGTTCCAGGCCAAGGATTTGGATGCAAGGATGTATTAAAGAGGAGCTCCCATCCTGCGGGGAGCACCAGCGTGTGAATTGTGTCTCAGACTTTGTCCTATCTCCACGGAAGGGAGCTGAGCCCTGTACTTCTGTAGCAGTCGGTCGTTAGCTACGGGCCGTGATGGGTAAGGAGGCGGGGAGGCTTCCAGGTGCTTCGAGCTCTCCTCTGGGGGAGCCAGCGCAGGGCCAAGGGCAGCACTGAAATCCACAGACGTTTAAAACATCTTTAAAACGGCACCCACCTTGTGCCTTCATTCTGCAAATATTACTGAGTCTATCGGGTGCCGATGTTGGGGGGGGGGGTGGTCCAGAGGTGAACAGAGCGGTTAAAACTTCCTTTTCTCACGCGGCCGTGGAGGGAGACACCCAATAAACAAAATGAGTAATTGACATATACAAAGTCCATTGGGCTGGGATGTACCCCATGGAGAAAAATAAAACAGGAATACAGATGTTGCCAGGGAGGTGGTTTAAAGAGTGAAACTTTAAACAGAAAGATCCAGGGGCGCCTGGATGGCTCAGTTCGTGGAGCGTCGGACTTTGGCTCAGGTCACGATCTCACGGTTCGTGAGTCTGAGCCCCACATCGGGCTCTGTGCTGACAGCTCAGAGCCTGGAGCCTGCTTCGGATTCTGTCTGTCTGTCTGTCTCTCCCTCTCTCTCTCTCTCTACCCATCCTGTGCTCACACTCTGTCTTTCAAAAAATAAATAAACATAAAAAATTTTTAAATAAGAAGACCCAGAGAGCCTCTGTGATGTGGCCACGTCAGTGCAGAGATCGGAAAGGAGTGAGAGAGGGAGCGATGTGGGCATCTAGAGGAAGGGCATTCTAGCAAGAGGGGGCAGTGCAAAGGTCCTGAAGCAGGATGATGCCTGGCTTGTTGGAAGAATGGCAGGAGGCTGGTGTGGCTGTGATGCTCACAGCCCCTTGTAAGAACTTCACATCTGACTCCTGGGTCTGTGGATTCATTTAATGCGGATTAAATGAGACGAGGCAGGCTATGCACTTAACATACAGCAAATGTCCAGGAAAGATTAGCCGACGCCTATTTCTTGAGACCATCAACAGAAAAGAAAGTGGAACCTTCTGTGAATTGCATCGAAAAATGGAACGCAGCAACAGTCCCGCTAAAAAATAATTGTCTCCCACCATCACCACCAGGCTATCAACAGCCAACAAAATCCTTACAACTCAGCCTCAGCCTGACAGTTCTATGTGGCCTGACCTCTGG